GTAGTGGGGGTGCTCGCGGGAGCCGAACCGCAGCCTGGGGAGAGCGCTGACCCAGGGACCTGGCAGCCGGGCTCTGGGCTTCACCACGGGCATCGCGACCAGCAGGTGCCCTGGGCGAAGGGCGCTGAGCGTCCTGCACTGGCTGACAGGGTCGCTGTGCCGCCCCTTCACGCACGGTCTCCCCGGGGCCGCCCCCTCTCCCTCGGGAGCCCGCTATTCCGCTCCATCAGAGGGAGCGTGATGTGCGGACCGCTGAGCACCCAGTGGGCCCCTGCGCCCCGCGTGACCTGGAGACCGCTGGGCTGCGCGGGCGGGTCCCTGCCGTCAGCACAGGGAGCACAGCTGTTCCCGCCTGCAGAACGCAGACGCCACTCCCCCGGGCGCTCACTGCCCCTCCGCCCCCTCCTCTCCCTCCAGCCTTACTAAAGATCACAGGAAGAGACCAAAGTATAATAAGCTACTTGTGAGTACCGGCCTGCCCGCCCTCCCTCCCCGTGGCCGAGCGCGGCCCGCGGGTGTCCTCACCTAGCCCACCCCGGCCCCCAGGAACACAGCTTCATCAAGCACTACGAGACGCTGGAGGTGGACGTGGCGTCCTGGTTCAAGGACATCATGGCGAAGACCGAGTCGCCGCGGACTAGTGGCGTCCTGAGCCAGCACCACCTGCCCTTCTTCAGGTAGCTGTGCGTGGCGGCAGCCCCTGGGGCCAGGGCGTGGCCACGGCCCCTCCCTGCTTGGCCGCCCAGTGCCCGCAGGGAGACCTGGGACCTGGACAGCCCGAGGGCCGAGGACAGAAAGTAGGGGCCGGCCCAGTCCCGACTCCTGCCCGCCAGCCGTGGACAGATGGGCCTGCCAGACCCCAGCCTGCCCGCCTGGGCCGCGGCCCTGCGCACCCCCTGACAGACACTGTGAATGGAAGACAGCAGGCCGCGAGCAGACTCGCTATTTATTCAGCTGTAACCTCTGGGGGCCAGCCCGGGGCGAGAGCCGCAGCCCTGCCCCACCAAGCTGCCGCCACCCTGCCCTGCACGCCCGCATCGCCTCCCCTCACCGCCCTCTACCTCCAACTGTCCCTGCCCCCTCCCTACCTCTGCCTCTCTCTGGCCCCTGGCTCTGCCCCCCAGGCGGGACTCCTGGGACGCCTCGTCCCCGGGGAGTGAGTCAGGGGCTGGCGGCCTCGGCCCAGGACGGCGGCCGGGCGCGGTGGCTGCAGCCGACCGGGCAGGTCTCTCTCGCTTGCTCTCTTTGATCTCAGGGGGTCCTTTTTGGAGTTTTAATTGTATTTTATTGTACTTGGTGGGGTATTTGGGGGTGGGGGGCGAAGAGCTCGTTCTCATGGGATTTGTCGGTACCTTCAGAAACTTTTACCAAAGTCATGTTTAGCTGCTTTCGGTGGGGCCCCAGCTGCCTGTGGGCGCTGGCGGCCAGGGCCCGGGCCACTGAGCTGCGTCAGCCCTGCAGGAGAGACACATCTCAAGGGTGGGCTCTGGGGGCCCCTCTCCCCCGGGACTGGGGTCTGGCCACAGCGTGGCGGGTGAGTCGAGGCCCTCGGGGTCGCCGAGGGAGCCCAGCGCCTGGGCTACACAGGACAGCCTTCAGGGACGCCGGCTCAGGTGTAGGAGAGCAGCTGCCGCTGGTGCGGCAGGGAGGCTCCGAGGAGACCGGGACTGGGCTGCGAGGCCAGGGAGAGGGTCCTCAGAGGCGGGCTGGGGGGGGCAGGCCGAGGACTGGGTGGTGCACGCGGCCGCTGGGTACGGCTCTGTGCGCCTCGGACTCCTGCGGCCAGTCCCCAGCCTGCCGGGCCTCGAGCAGCCGGAGCCTGCCCGTGCCTCCTTTTTGTCGGCGATACGTGCAAGCGAAGTGGACAACAGAAGGAAACAAAAACAACAAAAATAAGAAAACCCCACACAAGCCAACGACACCAAAGGTTAGGAACCTCGCTGGGTGTAGCAGCCGGAGTACGCACCTCCCTCGTGTGTTGACTATTGTATTCACAGACGCATGTTTAAAAAGTCCTAGAAGTCACTTTCTCTGCTCCCTCCCGCCTCCCCGGAAAGCCGCCTTCTCTTGCCCCAGTCCCCTTTGTGTGGGGATGTGGGCTGGTGGGGCTGACAGGCCTGGTCCCCCACCCGCGCCCTGTGGGCACAGCCTGAGGGCTCTTGCCAGGGGCTGGAGGTGGCTTGGCTGCCAGGGCCCAGGGCCCCACGCTGGGCTGTCAGTGGTTTTTATTTAACTGTTTCTGTGAGTGTGGCGCCACCAGCCTCTCCCGTGTCCTCCCTCTTCCCTGTCACCAGCCATCCCTGGCCAGGCAGGGAGTGGTCTGGGCAGGGGCAGCCCACTGGCCCTTGGCCTTCTCAGGCTGCCAGTCTTGCCCCCCCAGCCCCTTTTTAAAACAGAACACCCTCCTTTGTAAACCCTTAGACTCGAGAATAAAACCTCTCCCTTTTCGTCCACTGAGTCTGTGGTGTGTCACCAGCCGGGTAGAGCGCTGGGAAGGGACTGTGAACCCTCAGCTTGCTGGACTGAGGGTCTTGCGGGTCCAGCACCGTTTGGTACCTGGGGACTGTGTGAAGGGGGCAGGCAGGACGGGGGCTGGTGTCTGTCGTGACGAGCCCGAAGCCACAGTGGGGGCGGGGAGGGGCCCTTAATCCCTGCAGGCCTTGGGTGCTGCCCTGACGTGGGGCCCCGCCCCTGCTTCCCTGGTGACTGCCCAGCCAAGGACAGGGCCAGCTGTGTGCCTGTGCTGGCCCCACACACTTCAGCCAGTCCAGTATGCTGGGCACCACGCTCCTGACGCTGGCCTTGCTCCTGGGGACCTCCGCCTGGCCCAGCGGGCCACCTGGTGCGTAGGGGCCGGGGCCCAGTCTGTCACCGCCGTTCCTGCTGCTCTTGCCTTTCACCCGCCTGCCTGAGGGGACAGTGGGTGGGAGGTGGGGTCCGCCCTGACCCACCTCTAGGCTGTGCAGGATCCCCAGCGTCTCCAAAGCCCCCGGCAGACATGGTGAGGGCTGTCGGGGGTGGGTGCGTGGGGGGGTCCTGAGCGTCACCAGGCTGGACCCCGGCCACGGTCGTGGAGGCCCACACCTGCGTGGCACTGTGTGCCCTCTTCAGGCTCCCTGTACTGTCCCTGTCCGCAGCCTGCAGTCGAGGGACTGGGGCAAAGGGGGCCCCCAGATGGGTGGAGCATCCCACTGGCTCAAGCCCCCACCAGCCAGTGGTCGGCAGGGGGTGGTGCCGGCACCCGCGGAGCTGCCCGCCTCCTGGGGCATAGCAGGTCCAGACCCGCGCCCCTGCCCCACCCCCAGCAGGTGGGAAAACAGAGGCGCCTGCTCAGGGGCACAGCTTGGCCCCCTCTGTGGTGTCCCAGAGTCTGGGGGGCAGGAGCGGGTTGGGGGTGCATTGAGGCGGCTATATTGCCAGTGGTGATCTTGGCCAAAGCCCAGCGCTGGAGCAGCGTCGCGTTCATACAGGAGGCCATACAGGCCAGGCGGTTGGCCACCTGCCTGCCGGCCTGAGGGGCAGCGCGGCCCTGTGTGCTACCCTCCCTCCCCAGTGGCGCCCGGGCCCTGGCTGCGCAGACCCCTTTTCAGTCTGGAGCTGTCGGACGCGGAGGACGCCTTCCCGCGCCGCGCAGGGCCGCTGGAGGTCCCCGCCGACAGCCGCGTGTTCGTGCAGGTGCCGCGCGGGCTGCCCGCGG